CCCCTCTGCCAAAGCTGGAAACAGAAAAGCTTCCCCCTTCCTCTTGTGTTCTCGTCTCTTCTCGCAGCTTCCCATTGGCAGAATTCGACATTAACCTGCTGACCAAGAGTCTTGGTAAAGTAGGTTGCACCTATCCACTCGCAGTGCAGAGAAGAGGGTAGCAGGGCAAGGTGAGGTGGGGAGAAGGGGCAGAGAGATCCAATGGTAGCTTGGAGCAGTGTCTGGGAGCAGCTGCTGCCACCCAGGGTTTTCCCTCAGGGTTTCCACTCAGATGTGGTCAGACTTTGAAATCTTATGGAAAGTAGCTATTATGCACTGAATTTTGTGCCTCCCAAATTCAAAAGTTGAAACTCCAAACCTCAATGTGATTGTATTTAGAGATAGGGCACTTTAGGACTAATGAAGGTTAAACTGGGTCCTAAGTGTAGGGTTCTAATATCTTAGACCCGGTGTCCTTACAAGAAGAGGAAGAAGGGGTGGCACCTTTGGCTCAGTGAGTAGGGTGCTGGCCCCCTATACCGAGGGTGGCAGGTTCAAACCCGGCCCCAGCCAAACTGCAACAAAAAAGTAGCCGGGCGTTGTGGCAGGCACCTGTAGTCCCAGCTACTCAGGAGGCTGAGGCAAGAGAATCACTTAAGCCTAGGAGCTGGAGGTTGCTGTGAGCTGTGATGCCACCACACTCTACCAAAAGTAATAAAGTGACAGTCTTGTCTCTAAAAAAAAAAGAGGGAAAAGATCAAACACAGAGGAAATGCCGTGCAGGGCCACTGCCAGAAGGTGGCCATCTGCAAGTCCTGAGAGAGGACTTTTTCAAACCAGTTCTGCCAGCACCGTGATCTTGGACTTCTGCCTCCTGACCTGCTAGAAAATAAATTTCTGTTGTATGATCCACCCAGTCTGTGCTATTCTGTTATGGCAGCCCAAGGTGACTAATACAGACAGTCCCTGAGTTACAAACATCTGACTTACATACAGCTCTCACAAACAGGGGCTATTATAGTGATTCCCCGAGTTTCAAATGTCCATCTGATGTGCAACTCACATTGAGGATCAGAGGCTATTACAGGTAACAGGTAAATGTATCTGTTCCAACTTAAATACAAATCCAACTTAAGAACAAACCTCTAGTACCTAGCTCATTTGTATCTAGGAACTGCATGTACACTTACCAAATACATAAGTAATGAATATAGAGTCAAATGCCAAATTGCAAATGTGTACTAAACATGTAACTTTCTACTTAGATTTGCTGGTAAGTGCATTCTTTATGATTAAAACTATATGGGAATCAAATAAACTTGGACAGCTGCTTGACAACAGTGGTCTCTGAGTAAGCTGAGTTAGTTGGATGGTACAAACGGCCCCATGTAAATGCAGGAGTCTTTGGGATCTGAGGTACATGTCTCCCCCTAGACCTTCAATCTCTATGTGTGGAGGATCTCTCTTCCCAATAGTGCCAGAAGTGGGAGTTTCAGCTTTCCACACATTTCCTTTCTAGAGCCTTCTCTTTTCATATTGCCACATCCTGATTACCCTTTTCTTTCTTTTCGGTGGCCTTGCTTTACTCTGATCCTTTCCATGATTGTTTTATGGTTTAACATAAACAAGAACATTTTCACATTCTTGAAGTAGGGGCTGTGCCGATACTTGGCCCCTGCAGGCACAATGCGGTGTTGCCATTGTCAGTCCTGACCGGGCTGTATCTTTAGAAATGCCTGATACTCATGCCATATTATTGCTAAATAATTTGAATATCATCTCTCCCTATGTCACTGGCATCATGAAGTACAAAAAGACATTGACCAAATCAAGCCATTGAATCAGCTTTCCATATAGGCAGACTAAGCTAGTTGAAAATAGTAAGAAGCATCCCTATTCACCAAATGACAGCCTCCCCAGCCTATGATAGCATAAAATCCAATAGCTAGAGATGTTCTTAATAAGTTTAATTGTGCTATTCAGAAGGGATGCTCAGTATATCTAATATTTAATTAAATTTTATTCTCTATAGGCCAGCCCTTGGCAAAACGCTTTAAATGGATTGTCCCTCTAATTGTATCACAAGAACCCTACTACAAATACCACCTATTATTAATGCCATTTTATAGACAAATCAACAGAAGCTTAAACAGGCTAAGGAACATGTCTGATGGTATCAGCTAGTACAGGGTAAAGCAGGGATTGGAACCCTGAGATTAACCTCTGTGTCTCAAATAAGAGCCAAATGAGTCACTTGTCCTACAAGACCTCTTGGTTGTCAACCACAGCTTAGCACTTTTCTCACACTTTCTGCTGTTGGGTTTTTTGTTTCTGGGAAACTGGTTCTCTCTTAACGAAGCTCTTCTCCAGCTTCTTCCCGGATGAATGGCTGATCTCTCTACCTAGAATGATTTTTACCCATCTTTTTACATAACTAGCTCTTAACCATTCTACCAAAAAATTTCCCTGTCCATATGCTTGACACGTTGTTACACCACCTACATGATTATTTTCTTCATGCAGATACTTGCCACAATGTGGAGTTGTTTCTTGTTTGCTTATTTATTTGGTAGGGCTGTGCCACCAACATCTAAGGACAGGGTGTTACATACACTAGGCACTCAAAACATATGTGCTGAAGGCCAACGGATTATCTGTTGTAATCTATCAAAGCCCCATGCCCTTTGGGCTTAAGGCTTCACAGGGCATGTTTTTGATGGAGGGGGAAACATGGGAGCCTGAGTCGTCTCTGTGGCTGTATTCATCACTCCAAAGGGCATTCTGAGCCATGAGCTTATGACTGCTGAGATGGGGGGCAGACATTGCAAAGTGTGTGAGAAACCACTGAAAGTAGGAAAAGCAGGCCCCTGGACAAATTTAATCTAGTAAAAGTTTTGCCTATAGTAATAGTATACAATTCACTTTTTTTCTGAAAAATACTTCCTAGAGTTGTTTTTTGACTAGTAGGCCTTGCCAATGAACATATAGTAAGAATTTACTGTATTTAAAGAACTATCTTAGGTAGGTGAGTAAGGTGATTAACAAGGCAAGCCTCTATGGACTTCTGTAAAACTTGGGAGAGAAAGGGAAACTTTAGCAAACAGAGTTGTCCAGGAAGGTCTTGTGGGGAGGAGGACTTGAGACAGACTTTGGAGTAAGGGGCAATTAGACCAGAGGGAGGCAAGGCCTGGGCAGTGTGGCTCACACCTATAATCCTATGTAATCCTGGTGCTCTAGGAAGCTAAGGCAGGAGGATTGCTTGAGCTCAGGAGTTCAAGACCAGCCTAAGCAAAAGCAAGACCCCTTGTCTACTAAAAATAGAAAAATTAGCCAGGTGTGGTGGCTCATGCCTATAGTCCCAGCTATTTGGGAGGCTGAGGCAGGAGGATCATTTGAACCCAGGAATTTGAAGTTGCTATGAGCAAGGGTTACACCCTGGTACACTAGCCTAGGGTAAGAGACTGAGACTCTGTCTCAAATTTTAAAAAGCATGGTCTTAGGAATGTTTGGGGATTGTAAAAGATTTGTTGGTAGGAAGTAAACCTTAAAAATTATGTTTAAAAGTTTGGATTTTATTCTGCACTGTGATTGGACTCCCAGGAGATTCTGAGTGGACCAGTGATGTATCAAAACCAGTGTTTCCAATGTGAGAGATGAAATGACTAAGGTGGAGGAGGGAGCTTAGGCTGGAAACCATGTCCACGAGTTTCCTGTGACTGACAGTAGTTTGAACGTACCTGTCTCAACACAGCTGTGTTGATGGGGGAAAACAAGAGAACCAGCCCACAGGGTCCAATCTGATCCATGTCAGACTTGGAGCAATTTCTTTTCAATTAAAAAACCTGATCAGTATAGCACTTTATAAATTTCAGCTCTTCCATGTCAGCAATCCAATGGCTATGTCTATTTATGAGGATTATGAGAAATTTCTGTACTCCAAGTGCCTTCTGAGTCATCAGGGGTGTATTGAATTATGTTGATTATGTTGACTAATATTTCAGATAAACTGTTTATAAATGTAATCTGTGGGTAATGATAACTCACATATAAGTTTTAGTTTATTGCCTTTGAATTATTTCACATACATCATTTGACTGCCATTATTAACGTTTTTACAGTTGAGCAAAATGAGTTTCAGAGAGGCTAAATGACTTGTCCAAGGTCACTTGGGCTAATGGGTAAGAAAGCCTGGGTTGAAACTTATTTCTTTTATGTCAAGCTTTTTAGATCTTGGTGAAAATTAGAAGGTAATATTTAATATATATAATGAGTTCTTATTAACCGGAATACTTAATGATTCTGGAACAAGCAATCTCAGTGGTGTGCAGGGATGAACTTTATCTAATGTGGTAAAATGCAGTGGGTGTTCCATAAATACTCATTGACAATAATGATATCATCCACCATTCATTCAGAATCAATGTGCTTCAAAACGAATGCATCTTTTATAATGTTCCTCAAATATTTCTAAATTAAATATTTTTAAATTAAATATTGACAGTAATGTTCATGTTTCAGTTTCCCCTCATTGGGCCTTGAGCTTGATAACTGTTGGTTATGGAGCGTGGCTTTGTCAGTTTGGTCTCATGGAATTTGCAGATGGCGTCTATGTGCACAGTAACAGAATGATTCTGGCTGATGAAGAGAGGACGGGTGTGGAGCAAGTGTGGCATGAAATGGACTGTTTGCTTTTTTCCACAGTCTGCTGATTTAACCTGCACACCCATTCCCCAACTCCATTAGCAAAACCTGTAAAAACACAGGGGCCACCCCCAAAGACAACTCTGACATTTGTAACCTAGAGGGGTCTTCTGAGTTGAGAGAGTCTTGTTCTATACTTATTTGGGGGGGGGGGGCTGGGTATGTTTTGGCTTTCACACTTGTTTCTGGTTAGAAAGTTAAAAACAAAGATCTAAATACGGTGCACTTGGATAGTAAAACACATGTTCACTTTTTGCAGTGACCCTGGAAACAGACGAGGGACTCTTATAAATCACAAAGAAAAATAAATAACTTCACCCATGGAGAGAAAGAGACAGCTCGAAAAAAGGGACTTTGGAAAAAGGCTGTCTCTAGACAGCAGTCTTGTGGTAAGTACTAAATATTCATTTCCCACTCTATATGTTTTGGCTTAGAATGCGTTATTCTTTGACTGTTATTTCCTGAACCCTGTGCTTTTGAAACCTCTATTTCAGTTACCCCATTAGCAACATCCCTTGGGATTTTGTTTCATTTATTTTTTTTACAAACTCAAAAGCTGGCAAATTATTAGAATGTTTGGATAGTGTCTTAATAGGCAAATGTCATAATCTGTCAACATTATATATAATTACATTAATTCCAGCTGAAATCGACTTCGGTTTATACAAAAACACTACTGTACAGCTGATGCCACATGCCAAGCCTACATAGAGTTGTTCTACCACCCATTTATTTTAACTTTTGAACAAGAATTCAATACAACTTCAAATGTTGAGAAGCCAAGAAAGTATCTGAGATCTTCTTAGGTATGTAAATCAGTTCAGTTGTCCATAAACTTCTTTCTCAGAGTTTTAATGAGGATGAGGATCATTCCTAACGAGCCTGTTGGGTTCACTCTCAGGCATGAGAATCTGGTTAGTCCCGATTTCTGAAGTTAGACACTTTCTGAAGGTCTCTGGGCTGACACGTGGGTCATCTTCTGCTCCATAAGGCATATGAATAGAGCAAGAAATCAAATCAAGGAAGTCACTACTTTCTCTTTTATTCACCTACTAGAATAGAAATTAACTTGGCTCTTTTTTTAGCATGTTTTATAGGAATGCACTTTGTTCACTTGAATACTTCCAGCTCCTGGCTTGGAGTCTGGTTCAGAGTAAAGATTCAATAAAATATTTGTTGATTTGATTTATCAGCTGTACCTTTCAAACCCTGCAGCTGTAGGCCTGGCCCTGCAGTGAGCAGATTAGCTATTTACCCCATAGGCCAAGGCTCCACTTCAGGTTCATGGATGTGAGTTTCTAGAAATTGAAAAAAGGATCGCATTAAAGGTTTATATCCGGTTCTTCTCTTGTCACTCAGAAGCAGCTTCTGTGCCTATGTGGCATACCTTCAGAGCCTGAGGACTTTGGTAATATTTTAGTTCTCCTTCCTGTGGCTGTGACCCCCTGTCATTCCTAGATCTTGCCGCCTCCCGGTAGAATGTGGTGAAAACAGTTAAGTGCATGTGTGTTCATATCCATATTCTCTTTTCATCTTCTGGGGAAATGGGATGAAGAGATAATTTCTACAGCCTCTCTTCTGTGGAAAAAACAAAACAAAATACTTTCTGCTTATCAATATGCCAATAAGGGTCTGCCATAGGGAGGCAAGGGAGAAGGTGGGTATATGGTCAGATGCACACAGCTCAGGAAAGATTCTCTTAGCCCAGAAATGTTATCCTGACTGGTTGGTCCCCAAAGCCACAGATTTCTGCCTCAGGTAATATGCAAATATCCTATAAAACCAAGCATACTAAGCTATTAATTTTTAATAACTCATGGTAGCACCCATTAATAAAAGGCTTCAGATCATTCCCTGATGTTAGATGGATGAGTGGAATTTGACTGAATAAACTAATATGCAGAAGAATGGAAGCGCAGAGGCTTCGGAAGGAGGGGCTGGGGTGGGACAGGGCAGGGAGGAGGGAGCCTTGGGAAGGAGGGAGCCTTGGGAAGGAGGGGCTGGGGTGGGACAGGGCAGGGAGGAGGGAGC